GCATAAAACGAGATTTTCTACTTCATCACATTCCTAGAAAGTCTATACTGAGAGAAACGACTGTTTCTTCCATCCAAAAGTACATTGGAGAGTGTTGGTTTGCCTGATGTAAAATTTGCTAACAAACAATTAAAAGTCATTTTATATTGATTTGGAATTTGAATGAGTAAGCTGATGAAGAAATCAAAGAATATGTTGCCTCTGAAATGCACGGGCCATTGAAAAGCAGTTTAAAGAATGGACTTTTACTCCTATCATGTAGTGTGAAGAGCTCCTTCGCAGAAGCTTCTCACTGCACTATAGGAGCAGTCTGAAGGAAGAACATGCTTAGCATCTCTTTTACTGGAAAACAAAACAGATCCCAAAGGAACCCCCCCCCCAAAAAAAACCAACAACAACCTCCAAATGAACAAAACCAAACAACCGAATAAACAATTTAAGCCTCAAGTTGCAATATTGAAAGATTCTTTGGGCAAAATACTGAATGACACAAAAAACATCAAGAGGTGGGAAGGATACATGCAAATAATAACATCCCACCATTTCAGGACATAGCATATGAGCAAGAACCAATAGTAGTGAAGGAAGAAGTCCATGCTGCACTGAACGCACCAGCCAATGGTCCAAGGGTTTACAAAATACCAATTAAGATGTTTCCACAAGTTAATGAAGCCCTGGAAGCACTCATCTATGCCAAGAAATTTGGAAGACAGCTACCTGGCCCACCAATGGGAAGGGAGCCATATTTCTGCCCATTCCAAAGAAAAGTGACCTAACAGAATGTGTCAATTATCAAATAATATCACTAATACTCATGCAAGCAAACTTGTGCTGGATATAATCCAAAAAGTGGTCGCAGCAGTACATTGACAGGGAGCTACCAGTTGCTCAGACTGGACTCAGAAGAGGATGTGGAACAAGAGATATCATTGCTGATGTCAGATGAATCTTGGCTGAAAGCAGAAGATACCAGAAAGTTTTCTTGACTATGCAAAGGCATTCAACTGGGAGGACTATTGCAAACTATGGATAACAGTGATAAAAATGTGAATTCCAAAGCACTTAATTGTACTCATACAAAAGCTATACATGGGTCAAGAGAAGCTGTGTGAACAGAACAAGGGAATATGACATGGTTTAAAAGCAGGGAAACTGTGCATCAGAATTGTATCCTTTCGTTATACTTACTCAATCTGTATGTCAAGAAAACACTCTGAAAAGCCGGACTACATGAAAAAGGAGCCCTGCAGGAGTAGTGCCTTATGTTTTGGGCTGATAACAGAAAAGTCAGCAGTTTGAAACCACCAGGAGCTTTGGGGGAGAAAGATGAGGCTTTCCACTCTCATGAAGAGTCACAGTCATGTAAAGCCACAGGTGCAGTTGTACTCTGTCTGATAGGGTCAGAATGGACTCAGTGGCAGTGAATTTTGGTTGATCAATATTGAAGTAAAGCTTATTAACAGTCTGCCATAGGCAGATGGCATAACCTTGCTTGCCGAAACTGAAGCTAAATGTAAGCAGTTGCTGATGGAAATGTCTGCAGTCCTCAGTATGAATTGCAACTCGGTGTATCAAAAAACAAACTCATTTTTTAAAAAGCATCCTGAAAACTAGACTCATAGAGCCCATCATGCTAAAAGGAGAAATGATTGAAGTTGTCAAGATTGCTTTTGACTTGGACCCACAATCGATGCTCATGAAGGTACCAGTCAAGAAAACGAACACCACATTTCTTTGAGAAAATCTTCCTCCTAAGACCTCTTCCAAGTATTGAAGTTAAAGGTGTCACTGAGGCATAAGGTGCACCGGACTCAGGCCACAGTATCTTCAAGTGCCTCTCAGGCCTGTGAAAGTTGGTGCAAAAATGGAAAATGCCACGGCTTGGATGAGGCATACCGTAGTGCTCACAGTAACATCCTTGCTTTTCAGAGGTTTTGGACAGCATACATTCCCTGATGCAATGACTTGTTTGATTTCGTCTGTCAGTTTGTCGTACTGTGATGGTTGGTGTGTTGCTGGAAGCTTTAGCACTGGTATTTCAAAAAGGGTGTAGTTGGCCAAATAAAATTGGGAATCTGTGAGATTGAGACTAGTGAGACACAACACACACACACACACACACACACACCTGGCACTACTCTTTAGGTCTTGACATGAACTCACCCCCTGATTCAGTTTTCAGCTGTAGGATGCAAAAGGGTTGTTCTCCAGGTTGTCTCCTGAAAATATATGTCAAACCTAAGATGCTGCCTGCTACACATGGTAAATGACTGTACACTTCGAGGTCAACGCAAGCTGCTTAGAGGTTATTCTCCCTGAGGGTCATCAGCCATCTAGAGCAATCAGACTGTATAGTCTGTCCCACCCTAAGTAGGGCCCACTCCCTTCTGATAAGCTTAGTGGATTGTCTCCTTGAAGGAGAGCCCAGAAACAAGGTTGAGCCCGCTCAAGGATGACCAAGGTTAGGCTGCCATCTTGAATCTAGGGTCTTCCCATCTTGTTACATGTGTACTCTTAGTACCACCCTTCCTATTACATGGACACCCCTAGCGCATCCCCTTCCTGTGACGTGTATGCCTATTGTACAGCCCCTTCCTGTGACGTGTGTGGTTACCTGTAATCATGCCCCTAAGTATATATAGGCCTTGGTCAGAAATAAAGAGATATGCTCTCTCCTCCCTCCCTGTCTTCCTCCTATCTGCTCGGGTCTGGCTGCTGAGATCATGGCCGTCCTGAAGGTGAGCATGCTACCGTAAAATGTGTCTGATTCCTTTTTTTCACTCTTTCTCCTATCTTCCATAACTTTACTATAATGTCTATATAACTGTACAATTGCTCCTATGGACCCCCCATGGATGTTAGAGGCTGGTTTATTCTAACATTCAGCCAAGCAACTGACAGACCTATAAGGGAACTGAATTACTAGTGAGGAATGTACCTTAGAATAATCAACCATTTGAGATTTTTTTTAAAAGGCAGGTTTTATCCAACGGACAAATTCAGAAGGGTTAGGAAAGAAGGTGGGATGGAAACAGGGTTCATAGGGAGGAAATGGCATAAGTGAAAATACATTGTTGTTAGAGGAAGCCAGCCTCCAACACCCAAAGGGCCAATAAGCGCAATTGTACAGTTATATTATATAAAGGTAATAGTAAAATCATAGAGGATAAGAAAGGAGAGAGAGTAAAATAAAGGAGTCAGATACATTGTATCGTAGCATGCTCACTCGGCCCATCTTGATGGTCCATGTGGAACTGGGAGAAGAGAAAGAACCTTTCCTATCTTGGGACATTTATAGGTAGCCATAAGAAATGCATATTCAGTAGTTACATACATCGCAAGGTGGGTGGAATCTACAGTAGGGTCCTTGACCTCACAGGTGAGGAAACCTAATACCTGCAAGGGGGGAAGGGATGAGGGGGGGCTGGGTAACAGCGAGAAGAGAGAAAAAGATGGCTGCCTCTGTAGGGAGATAGAATCTACCATGTGCTCACTTTAAGGCAGCATCTCTGTTAGGGGAGAATCTGTGGGAATGATATTTAAAGCAGGATCATGTACTTGGACTTTACCTCTAACTTAACAAAGTGGAGGCTTTCCTACCATGGAATACCAGCTTTCCAGATTCCCTCTGTGATAAGGTAGGGGATATAGTCCTCATCCTAGTTCCCTCAGTGTTAGTTTCCCACACATTGTAGAGATTGCAATCTATGAGATGACACACAATGTAAGAATTGTTGAATGCAAAGCTGGTGTGCTCTGTAAACCTTCACCCAATTCACATGAAAAGTGAAAAACAAACAAAAAGCCACTACCACATCACTGAAATTGGAAGATAGGTTTATTCTGAGCATAAAATATATGCATAGAACCTAAAACCAAGCTTATTACAGCCCAGCCCATTTGGAATCACAGTGACGCGATAGGACTGAGTAGACATGCCCCTGAGAGTTTCTGAGATGTTTCGAACTACTGACCTGAACGTTAGCAGCTCCACACGCAGCCCACTATACTACCCAGGGTCCTTTCTGTACACGTACAGAGAGCCCGTTATGACTCTAGATAAACCAATTGACGCAAAGAAATAGATATAATAAAACTCGTATAGAAGAGGGGGGGAAATACAGCAGACCAAACCCTGGGTCATCTAAAATTGGGTTGATTAATTCTGGCCTTTCCTCCTTTACTGAGAGCAACTAATACGACGTTACCTCTGGCCTGGCTGCTAATCATTTGGGCCTCTACCCACCTGCAACCGAGGGGGCTTTTTCAGATTTCAGCTAGGAGGCCGTAGGTAACACAAATTTACACGGCAATACAGATTCCAGCAGCCTTTTGCTGTTTGAGTCAGGATTTTTATGTTTGTTTTTTATATTTGGAGCTATGGATGGGAAAAACCTTTCAATCAAAGTGGGATATCTGCTGTTAATTCTCCTATTCAACATCTGCCACGTTTTCCCCATGCCAAACAGAAGCTCAATCCACTGAGAGAAAAAAATCTCTCCTTTTTCTACAAAAAAGTCAATGAGACAGGGATCCAGACCATGTTGGTGGCTTTCTTTCAGGCCATCGCCAACCTTGCACTGCTAGCGACCCAAGGTGACAGAAGCTCCCCGTGGGCTTGTCTACGCGGCAATCAAATTGCCAGACGTTTCCCTCAAGGAGGCGGCAAGTAGGTTCCCATCGCCTGACCAATGGGGCAACGGCAGGCAGTTCTGTACGGCAGGTTTTCCAACATGGCCGCCTCCATAGGGACACCTGTAGGAGCACGCGGACGTCACGTACAGCCGCGCCAGAAACGCCCTCGCGGCGCCTTCCGCCTTTCTGGACCCTCGCCGGCACCCGTAGGCCGACTGGAATGCGGCGGGAAGAGTCGGGGTCCTTAAATCCCTTTTAGGAAGTGAGTGATTTTGCCGAACGCCTTGTGGTTTTGAGTGAAGCTCTCGGTGTGCGTTCTGTCCTTGGCGCCGCGCGCGGAAGACGTTGGCCGCGGAGCAGTGAGGATCCGCGGGGGACCGGGGAATGGAGGTGCTCGAGCGCCAGCAGGTAGGAGTCGGCGCTGAGGAATCACAACCCCGCCCCTCTCGCGCTGCGCAGTCCCAGGTGAGCCGCTGGACGGGACACCTGACCGCAGAGCTGCGTCCACCCCAGGACCAAACAAGAAGAATTTGCAACAAAGTTCTTGCAGCAAAACCCACACGCATGTGAAAATTCTTGTTTGGTCTCTAGGGCGGCAGTAAAAAAAAAATTTTTTTTAAACAGGTAATTCCTTCCATCTCCTTTTCTATGCAGATGTTTCTCTTGCCTGAAAAAGCACCTTCGTTTTTTATGGGAGCTCCGGGCTTTAATGATGCAGTGCCATAAAAGTTGTCTTTTTAAAAACGTGCAGCGTAACAGTGTACGTGCGACTAGCCATTGCCCACGGAGAGAAGTACATTAGGATCACTCCAATGGGGCCGTTTTTGGGTAATCAAATCCAAACCTCATACCATCCTGTTACCGTGCACTTCGGTTTCTTCTTGATTACAGCATTTTGATAGCAATTATTTTATTGTGTTTTCAGGGAAGGTCTGCACAGTCATTAAAGCTCCCAGTCCACAATTTCTACACAAGTTGTTCATTCGTTGGGATTGCATGGCATGTCCCCTTACAGCAGCAGCCTAGGAGGAAAGCAGAAGTGACTAAATCCCCCTTCACAGTTCCATACGCCGTATTCACCGTCTTAGCATGTTACATATTACTTATTTACAGTCTTAGCGTGTTACATGCTCCTTATTTACAGTCTCAGCATATTAAGTCTTATTTACAGTCTAAGCGTGTTAAGTTCCATGCTCCTTATTTACAGTCTTAGCATGTTAAGTCTTATTTACAGTCTAAGCGTGTTAAGTTACATGCTATTTAATTACAGTCTTAGCGTGTTAAGTCTTATTTACAGTCTAAGCGTGTTAAGTTACATGCTATTTAATTACAGTCTTAGCATGTTAAGTCTTATTTACAGTCTAAGCGTGTTAAGTTCCATACTCCTTGTTTACAGTCTTAGCATGTTAAGTTCCATGCTCCTTATTTACAGTCAGCATATTAAGTGTTACTTACGGTCTAAGCATATTAAGTTACATGCTACTACAGTCTTAGCATGTTAAGTTCCATACTCCTTATTTACAGCATGTTAAGTCTTATTTACAGTCTAAGTGTGTTAAGTTCCATACTACTTATTTACAGTCTAAGCATGTTACACACTACTTATTTACAGTCTAAGCATGTTACATACTACTTATTTACAGCCTTAGCATGTTCCATAGTACTTATTTACAGTCTTAGCATGTTGGTGAGCCACCAGCGCCTTATTTGCATAGTCTCGCCCGTTGATTTGGGAATTCACATAGACTAGCTAAAAGAATCAAACTTCTAGCGTCCCCATAGGGCGAAGTAGAATTGTCATTTTGAGTTTCTGAGATTATAAATCTTCATGGAGCCAGAAAGCCTCATCTTTCCCTGCAGAGTCGCCAGTGGGTTGGAAGTGCTGACCCAACGCTAACTCTACCCCGATACCACCAGGGCTCTTTCAAATCCCAAACCACTGCTATCGAGTCCGTTCTGACTCCCAACGACGCTACAGGATGGGGCCTCTTGGCCTTTCCCAGACTAACTCTAAGGGAATAAAAAGCCTCATTTTGGTCTTATTAAAAAAAAACTCTTGTTGACATAGAATTCACATATCATACATGTCAATCAGTATCTTAGTCTTTACTCAGTTTTAATATTTTCTTGCATCCCTTTCCACATGTTATACATGTTTATTTAACCTGTGGGACCCTGATGCCACTGTCAGGTAAGGTTGGGCTGTTAACCTCAAGGTTGGTGGTTTAAACCCCTGATCCCTCAGAGAATGATGAGGCTGTCGGCTCCCGTAGAGCTTTATCGGGTTGTGCTGAGGTGGTGTTGATTCAACTTGTAATTTCTTTCATTCTGACCTCTGGCATCTTTTCTCTATAGATTCTTACATTGGCCTTGAGGATTTGAGTGTAGCATTGGATTTTATGGTATCACTAGCTTCTGTTTGTCTCATAGCAAGCACATGGTCAAACACACACAAGCACATTCTCATGCATATATATGCACAAGTATATAGTGTACACACATGTATACAAACATACATAGAAACTTGAGTATGGGTGTGAATGTGAGATACAGGATTTCACTGTAAACTTTTACAGAGACATGTATTTGAATGAATGGATGGATGCTTGAATATACAAATACAGGATTTTTTTCTGGTCTTTTACAAATTTATTATTTTGTTTTTATATATTTTAAGATCATTTTTATTGGGGGCTCTTATAGATCTTACCTCCATCCATCCATGCATCCATGCATCCATCCATCCATTGTGTCCTGTACATTTGTTCCTATGTTGCCATCATCATTTTCAAAACATTTTCTTTCTACTTGAACCCTTGATATCAGCTCCTCATTTCCTCCCCGCCCCCACCCTCCCATATTTATTTTTTAATAAATTATTTTATTGGGGGAAGAAATATTTTAAAAAACAAACACCGGGTATAGTAAAGCAGCAGCCTATATAGAGAAAATGAGCAGAACTGACCTTTCCGATGTTACCCAAATGATCAAGAACGAATTTCACTAAACAGGACCCTGTTGTGACAGGTACCACTGGCGTTCCACGATGTGGCTGTGGAGTTCACCCGGGAGGAGTGGCAGCTCTTGGGCCCTGCTCAGAAGGATCTGTACTGGGACGTGATACAGGAGACCGTTAGCCACCTGGTGTCCTTAGGTGAGAGCAGCTCCCCTGTTGTTGGCCTTCCCCTTCTCAGCTGCTGACACCTTTGCAGTGCCTGTGCCTCCCTAAGTGGTGGGTTCTCAGCCTAATAATCTCTGGCCCTAGAGAAGGGGTGCATTCCCCCTACTCCTGACAGAAACCCATGGACTGGATCTATGTGGAAATGGTTTCGTCCCATAGATTACATTCTGTCGTCAAAAGCCAAGGTTAATTTGGTGACTCTGAGGTTCTGTGGTTTCCCACGAACAGGGTATCCAGTTGCCAAACCAGATGCACTGTCCAGGTGGGAAAGAGGAGAACCACCTTGGAGTCCATCGAATGAAGTCAGTCGTGCCGAGTTGTCAGGTGAGCGAGCAAATCCGGCAAAGGGGAGGGCTGTGAGCTGGAGTTCTAGTACAAGCAGACTCTCGGCTCTGAG